TTCTAAAGTTTTCTTATACCAAAAGAATAAAGTTCTTGAAAGGATGAAATTACATATTTATTGGCACCAAATTTGTGTAAAATAAAGGGCGTTTGTTCTATTATTTGTATAAATTGTCAAGAAATAGATGTTACCTAATATAAGCTTCTTAGTAACGTACTTAATAAATGTAAAAACATTTTTTAAAAAGTAGCTAATGATACAAGACAAAAACAAATGAAATTTGGAATGAACTTGTCAATAATCACCATATAAACATTAAATTAATTCCTCTTAGAACGCATGTGAAACCCAGGCCACTCTTTATCGTTCCATAAGGAAAATAAGGAGGAAACATCATCCAGGTATCGTCAAATCTCTACATAGTTGACCTCGCTATGGAGATCACACAGTGTACAAACTACGTAATTCTACAACGACATTTTCTATGGAAGAGTTTAGCAGTGCCAAAGGGGATTGATACATGACAATGACTGGAAGCCTTATCTTATAGAACCAGTACCCTATTGGCCTCGTTTCCAGATGGTGACCATTCGTGACCAAGTTCTTTATTGTTGCCTGAGACACGAGGTCGGTTTTTGCCACTAACCATTTCGTTCGTGAATTCTCACCTGTTACAAGGCGTCACAATTTGTTTACTACGGCTAAGTGGGGTACGACTTATTGCCGGGCTCTTTCTGAATGGTCCTGGTACCCCAAACGATATCTCGGTCTTGGAAATTCCGAATCTTCTATCTGAACACATCTTTATTGATATGATTGTATGAAATACTTTTTGTTGGAAAAGGCTGTTACACACCCTTCTCAGAAATGATTACTTTTCGGTGGCATAACACTGCCCACGCAGCGCCAAACAATGTAAAAATGTGATTGTGGTTGTCATGTGATTTGCTGATTTATCATATTCAAAATCGTTTTACCATAGTGTACTCAACCCAGTGGTACGTTTGAAAAAAGAATATTTTACTCGAAAGTTTAAAATAAAAGTACCGACTTAGCAAAAATTACCCTACATTCGGTCATTTAGTGACGAACTACTTTCACTAGCGGTGTTATATGTATGTATGTATGTCTATCTATAATGGGGCCTGGCATGGCCTGATGGTTATGGCGCTCGACTTGTAATCTGAGCGTCGCGGGTTCGAAACCCTGTCACACTAAACATGCTAGCCCTTTCATCCGTGGGGCGTTATAATGTGATAAAAGAGTAGCCCAAGAGTTGGCGGTGGGTGGGGCTGACTAGCTGTCTTCCCTCTAGTCTGTCACATTAGGGATGACTAGCGCAGATAGCTCTCGTGTAGCTTTGCATAAAATTCACAACAAATCTAAATATCTATAATGTTCTCAAATCTTGAAGTTGTGTTACTTAACAATATTTAAAATGTATATCTTATTATAATGGAGCTTGCGACGTATACGTCTAAAACTCGGATCTCGGAAACGACCGCACCGATCATCACCAATCATAACTGGGAAATATGTTTATAATTAGACAGTATTTTTATAGCTGAATAATACATAAAACAATTGAAATTTTTACAAAAATTATACTTTTCTGATCTCATCAATAAAAAATACA